GGGCGCCTGGGTGGCTCAGTCATTAAGCGTCTGCCTTAGGCTCAGGTCATGGTCCCAGGGTCCTGGGATCAAGCCCCACATCGGGCTCCCTGCTCTGCGGGAAGCCTGCTTCTCCCTCTCCCACTGCCCCTGCTTGTGTTCCCTCTCTCGCTGTGTCTCTCTCTGTCAAATAAATAAATAAAATCTTAAAAAAAGACTTTTATTTTTAAGTAATGTCTACATCCAATGTGGAGCTCGAACTCACAACCCCGAGATCAAGAGTTGTATGCTCCACTGACTGAGCCAGCCAGGTGCCCCCAGTATGTCTAATTTTTTTTTTTTTTTTGAGAGAGCGTGTGCGCGTGTACAAACTGGGGGGAGGGTCAGAGGGAGATGCAGACTCCCCACTGAGCAGGCAGCCCGATGTGGGCCTCGATGCCAGGACCCTGAGATCATGACCTGAGCCGAAGACAGATGTTTAACCGATTGAGCCACCCAGGCGCCCGGCATGTCTAATTTTTACAATTGCCCTGCAAGGTTATTGTATGATCTCCATTTGGTGGACTCTGAAAATCAGAGATGTAAATTCCTTTGATAACACCACACAGCTACATCTCCACACGCATGCACACAATGGGATAGCATTTAGCCCTAAAGAGGATGAATGCTACACTTTGCTACAACAGGGAAGAACCTCAGAAACTCATACTAAGAGAAAGAAGTCAGACATAAAAGGTCACATACTGTGCGGTTCCATTTGTATGAAATATCCAGAATGGGTACATCTACACCTACAGACAGCAGACTGGTGGTTGCCAGGGGCTGGTGGAAACGTGAATGGGAAGAAACTGTTAAACGGGTATGAGGTTTTCTTTTGGGGTGACAAAAATGATTTGGAACTAGATGGAGGTGGGTGTTGCACATCATAAATTTATTCTTTTTCATTAAATTTTTTTTAAGATTTTATTTATTCATTTGAGAGAGAGCATGCGCACACAAGCTCGAGCCGGAGAGGGGCAGAGAGAGAAGGACTAGAGCCTGACACTGGGCTCAATCTCAGGACCCAGAGATCATGACCTGAGCCGAAATCAAGAGTCGGATGCTTAGCCGACTGAGCCACCCAGGTGCCATAGTAAATTTAATCAATGCCACTGAGTTGTACATTTTAAAATGGCTAACTTTATGTTATGTGAATTTTACCTCAGTAAGATTAAAACAGCAACAACTCCACCCTAGAGTCTCTTCCTCATTGATGAGCATAATTTTGCCATTAGTGATTTAGTCCTTTGGATAGTGAAGCCTCCAGCACCTGGGCTCAATCTTTTCTCCCCCAGAGAAACCCCCATGAGAATTCCAGGGCAGAAAGGGAGGAAACAGCAACATGGCTCAGAGGGCAGGCACTGGAGTCAGGCTGCCTGAGTTCAATTCCAGGCACCTTCATACCCTCATCTGTAAAATGGGGATGATAATGTTACCAACCTCATGGGGTTGCTCTGAGGATAGGACAAAATCATTCATGTAAACCATCTGGGCAGGTGTCATGTTTATTCACTAAGCTGTATTGTTAGGGCAGGCCACCTTCCCCTATTATACTACACAGCCAATAAATAAATATTTATTGAGCACCTACTATGCGCCCAGCACTCTTCTAGTCCCTGGGGATTCAACAAGGAGCAAGAAAAACAAAGTTCCTTTCTTCTTGGTGCTCACATTCCAATTGGGGTATAAGACCATAGACGAAGTATAATACCTAGTATGTTAGCTGGTAATATATAAGCTAAGGAAAGAAAAATAAGTGATGAGGGACAGCAAGTTTGGGGGAGAATTTGAAACTGGCTGGCTGGAGAAGGCTTCCCTCTGTGATGACTCAAGGGAAGTGAGGTGTATCCATTTCCTACTGCCGTTCTAACAAACCTCGTGGCTTACACAACCCAAATGTCATTCTTTACAGTTCTTGAGGTCAGGAGTCCAAAATGGGGCTCACCGGGCTGAAATCAAGGTGTCAGCAGAGCTGTGTTCCTTCTGGAGGCTCCAGGGGAGAATCCATCCCCTTGCCTTTTCTGGCTTCTAGAGGCCCCACTTTCCTTGGTTTGTGATCCCACATTATTCTACCTTCTTCTGTCATCACATAGCCTTCTCTTTGACTTTCCTCCCTCCCTCTTCTCCTTATAAGGATGTTTGTGATGACACAGGGCCCACCTCAACCATCCAGAATAATCTTCCCATCTCAAGATCCTTAATCACATCTACAAAGTCATTTTGCCATAAAAGGTAACATGGTCACAGGTTCTGGGGATTAGGATATGGACATCTCTGGGCAGCCCATTATTCTGTCTACCATATGAGACATGGTACCTAGAAGAAGTGGGAATAGCAAGTTCAAAGGCCCTGAGGCAGAGCTCTTCTGGCATGCCTGAGGAAGCTGGAGACCAGTGAAGATGCAGTGGAGTGGGCAAAGGCAGCATGACCTCTCACAAGGGCAGAAAGGTGAAGGAGGTGGAGTGGTTCTTGCAAGCACGTGGGTCCCAGTGGGGACTCTGACCTTTCCATGAGTGAGATGAGAGAATGTGAGGGACATGATCCTACAGGTTTTACCAGGACCCCTTGGGCAGCTGTGTGAACAAAGGACTACCCATGAACAGGCTGCTGCAGCATCCATGTGAGAGGCTGGGGGCTGGGCTGAGGCAACAGAGGGAAGTGGATTTTGAAGGTCGAGTCAACAAGGAATCACTTAAGGGTCAGAAGTGGAGAGACGCTGCAAAAGGGGAATCAGGGATGAGTCCGAGGTTTTTGGCGGGAGCAACTGGGAAGAATCAAGATGCTCTTTAAGATGGGGACCACTACAAAAAGCTCAGACTTGGGACCGCTGATGAGAAATCAGGAATTTGCTCCGAGATGTGTGTTGGGAACCCAGAGAGGAGCAGGAAGTTGGACATGGGAGTCCGGAATTCAGGACGGGGGCCTGGAGGGATTTGTTTGGGAGATTTCAGCAGGTTATGTAGGTAGAATTTAAAGCCTGGATGACATAGATCTCTGAGGGATGTGTGCAGAGATGAGAGGACCGAGGACGGAGACCTGGGGCCCCTCTGATGAGGAGGAGCCAGTGATGCGGGAGGAAAAGCACATGAAGGTGGGGTCCTGGCAGTCAAGGGAGCCAAAGGCTGCAAACTCTGCCCACAGTAAGCGTGGCATGAGGGGTTGGTGGAGCAGAGGATGACCCTCTTGCTTCTGAGGGTTGTTCTCTGGCAAACAGCCTCCAAGGGAGACAATTTAAGGGAGTTGGACCTACTGAGGCAGCCTTGTTCCTGTGAGCCAGAAGTTGTCTCCCCTGCAGGAGGCTGGAGTACGTCCACTCCAGAGATCGCCCCCCGCCCCCACTCTCCCAGCATGATTTCCCTCTGGTCTCACCTCCAGCCAGGCTTTAAGACTCCATTCAGTCACCTCCCCTCTGCCAGGTGGCTGTGCTGACCACCCAGACGGAGCTGGGTATCCTTCTGCTCAGCTCCCACAGGATCTGCTGCTCCCCCGTTGGACAACTCCCCACCCCAAGTCTCCTATGTCGGAGTCTCCCGCTGGGCTAGGCAAGCTTCCTCCTTTCTCCATCCTGGGCGCCTAGCAGGTGCGAGTCATCTAATGGGCTCTCAATAAACATCTGGCCACGCCTGGTCCTGCTCCACTGAAGCTCCAGCCCCTAGACTTCCCAGACCTTAGTGGGGCCCCTTACACACTGCGCCTACGGACACTCCCTGAGTATTTGTTAAATACCAAGGAAAGGGCCATGGACTTGGACCCAAGCCCGACTTCTGGCACTTTCAAGTACTTTGGACTTCAGTCTCCCATCTCTAAAATGGAAGTGATGCAGTCTCCTCACTGGTTGTGACGACGTTTGGGAAAGTGTTTGGCAAACTGGAAAGCGGCCCGGCAAATCAGTTACCAGAGCTCGAGGCTTTTCCTTGGCAGCTGATGCAGGGCACGTGACCGGACCTGCCTGACCCACCCCACGCCACATGAGGCCTTCTAGTTGGTTTTTTTCAAGCTGCTTGGAGGACAAGCAGCGTCTTCCTCTGGCAATGGGAACTGGGGAATGAGTGGGGCCCAGCCCTGGTGGAAACTCTCACACATGCATGGACGTTCACGAGTGTTTCCAATGACTAAGGGCCACATGAAGCAGTTGGCTGGACCCTTCCTGAAACCTGTCCCGGAATGGCTCGGCCTGCAGCGCTGCTCTGACCATCCTCAGCCCTACTCTCCCACTTCTCTGGGGGTGAGCCCCTTCCCCGCACCCAGGGCAGGGCCCCAGGCTCCCCTTTTCCCTCAGCAGCAGGGAGCACACAGGAGGTTCAGCATGTGAGGCAGTTTATTGACGTTTACTTGCCCAGATGAACTTTTCCTCACCGTTTTAGGGCTGAAGGAACTGGTGGGGAGAGGGGAGGTGTACGGACGGAAGCCAAAAGGCTGAATGTGTCATGGTGGGCTGAAAAGTGGTCGGTCTGAGATGGAGAAGCCCCCCATTTCAGAGGCTAAGAAAGTCTGGGCCCAAGAACATGCACTCACACAGCCAAATCCCTTCTATCTGCCACAGGAGAACCAGGCATAACCCTGGCCGGCTTTCCCGCAGGCTCTCCTGTCAGCGTCGGGCCTGGCCGTTGTGCCTGAGGGACCACCTACAGCACAGTGGCCATGGCGTCTTGACCTAAACACACAGGGCAGGGCTGGCCTGGCTCCATCCGTACAGCAGGGACAAAGGAGGCTGAGAGCAGATCTGCGGTGCTCGTCAGCCTGAGATCACCACTCTAAAATGTAGTGTGAATCATTTTTTTTTCTTTTTTCTTTTTTAAAGATTGTATTTATTTATTTGACACAGAGAGAGATCACAAGTAGGCAGAGTTGTAGGCAGAGGGAGAGGGAGAAGCAGGCTCCCTGCCAAGCAAGGAGCCCGATGCAGGACTCGATCCCAGGACCCTGAGACATGATCTGAGCCAAAGGCGGATGCTTAACGACTGAGCCACTCAGGCGCCCTACAATGTAGTGTGAATCCACAAGTGGGGGCCTGAAGGCCGGACACAATGATGAAGTATGGAAATGTCATTCTGAGCGGACCGGACTTCTGAACCAACAGGCTTCTTACCCAGCCTCTGCACACAGGGTGTCTTAGTCCCCTTGGCTCCGCACGGTCCCGGAAGCAGAAGGAAGAGGAAGTGGTGGGCTGCCCAGCTGGGGCCTGGGGACTGCCATGATTGTCCAGATCTCTGTGGTCAGAGAGCGGCCCAGCCACTTCAGCCCTGACCCTGGGACGACTGAGGGAACAGGACGTTGAGTCCCAGGAGGGCTGCCCCCAAAGGCCCCCGCCCGGCCGCCTGGCTCTGCAGGCCTCTTCTACCGCTTCTTCTTGGCCTCCTTCTTGGGCCTCTTGCTGGCAGAAAGAGCAACAGCCTTGGGTTTCCTCGTCACCTCCACACTTCTGGGCTCAGAGGGCTCTGCCTCCTGCATGGCAATAGAAAGGAGAGTCCTGTTTAGACGAGTCCAGCCTGACACTAGCAAAAAAGAGATCATTGTCTGAAGGGGGCTTTGCAAACTAAAGCCCACGGAACCACTACTGCTGGGACCCGGGAGCCTTGGGTGGGCGGGGCCGCCCCTGGGGAGCAGGGCAGTTCTCAGTGAAGAAGAGGCCCCAAGGGAGGAGGCAACCTTTGGAGCGGGTGGGGGGATGGATGGATGGGTGGATTTAGGCCTCTCCACATGCCAGCCAAGTGACCGGTGGGCAACTCACTTCCCCTTCCCACGTTTTGGTTTACCCACCTGTGAAACGGTACAGTGATGTGCGCTGGGGCAAGTGTGGCATGGAAAGTGCCCAGCGGCTGTGGCCGCACCGTGGCAGGTTGCTCGCCCTGCGCAGGTACGGGGCAGAGCGCGGGCGAGGAGCCGGATGTGGGGCAGACCCACTGTGGCTCGCTCCCCCTCCAGCCCTGCTGTCTTCTTACTCCCATTCAACCCACAGCATGCCAGGGCTGGGAGGGGTGGAGAGCGCTGGCCCGCAGCTGGGCAACCACTGCCTTGTGTTCTGTGGGGCCCAGCGGAAGTGCCCCGTGTGGGAGGGTGGAGGGCAGCCTTGGGGCAGAACTCCAGACTTTCCCTACAACCTGGGCAGCCCTGGTTTTTCTATGTGTCCTGTTCCCTGTAAGATCTGGTTTATGCAAAGGCTCTGCTGTTTTAAAAACAGGTTTAAAACCACAACCCCAGGCTCACGTCAGAGAAGAATCTGGAGGGGACTCAGTCCGGTGAAGTGTTCCCTGACCCCGGGAAATAAGTCCCAAACTGTGCCTTGGTCAGGCAGGATGTTAGTGAGGCATGACCGGCCTGGAGAACAATGACCACGGCCCCCGAGCCTCCTCCGGCCCTCAAGTGGACTTCACTTGGCCTAAAGTGTTTATTTTTAAAAATCTGAGCTAACTGGTAGCTTTCCCATTCAATGGAGACTCCCAGCTTTTCTTGAAAATGTGAAACGCCTGGCAACGGCAGCCCCTTTATTCAGGTGCCCACACTCCCACAGCCCCAGCACTAGGGTCAGGAAATGTGTCTCGGTACCTGTGTTCTTTTATTAAAAATGGGAAAATAAAAAGCAGACAAAGAATACTAAGAAGGAGCATACTTCTGGAAGAGAAAAACACTTCCTCGGTTGAACTGGCCGACTCCCAGCTTCCCGCTTGCTTTGCTCTCTCTCCTTCCCTGGTCCTGCACCTCAAGCCCTCGGGCTGGCAGGAGAGCCGTGACCCTGGCTGGGGAGGGGCAGTCCACACCTATGTGGGGCCTACTCCAGTCGTCTGTCAGCTCCCTCTTATCAGCCATCCTTCCCTCCACCCCCCCTTGCCAGCCCGCCTGCTGAGACATCTGTAAAGACCCAGCCCAGTCCCAGGTACCCACGTGTGAGCTTCCTAAGATAACAAGGGGGCTGGCCCCTCCCCTAGCCAGGTCTCCAATGGCAGCACTGGACTCCCCCAGCCTGTCAACTTGGGCCGACACTTTAATCACTTTAATGTAACTTGGCCAAAAAAAAAAAAAGAAAGAAAGAAAGAAAGCCCATTAGAAAGACAAACAAACAAAACAGAACCTCAGAGGAGCCAGCCTGTCAAGGGCACAGGCTGAGCAGCCCCCCACCGCCACCCCGCCCCCCGCCCCCAACAGAGCACAGCGGGGCCAGGGCCAGGGCGGCGGGGGAAGGCTACTGTTTAAGGCAAACCCCACAGGGCACAGTCTCTGGAGACCTTGGGAGCTGGAAACTGTCCCCAGTCAGTGCCTATGAGGCCAGTGCAAACCGCTCAGTACCTGAGTGCCTGAGACAAACAGGCCCTGACGAGATGAATGGTTTCCACACAGGAAACATGCCAAGCCTGCCAGGATCTCTGGAGCTCCCGACCCTCTAAACTCAAAGCTGGGTGCCCCCTCCAGTTTCAGTGGGGCCCATGTCAGAATCCACAGGGACGGTGACACCCGCCTGCCAGCCCCAGAGCCTCCCTCATCCCACAGACCCTCTCTTAGGTGCCTTATCCATTCTGGTACCTCCCCGACCTCTCTCCTGAGCAGACGTTTTCCTGACCCAACTATCTGTGTGATGGCTGGGACTGGCGCCCCCCTGGGGAATGTCCAACTGCACTGTCCCAGACCCAGCACAGCCCCTTCTCTAGCAGGCCAGGTCCTCCTCCCCGCCTGAAGGCAGAGCCACCACAGCCCCAGTGACCCCACCCGTGTCTCCTCCCAACGGGCCAATCAGTCCCCGCGTCCTGGGGATTCAACCCTTGTTAACTCTCGACTTGGTCACGCTCTCCAGCACCGAAGTCCCTACGTCAGTTCCTCCACTGCTAACTGACCTCCCTGCTCTATGCCACGCCTTGTGCGGATCCCCCCACCTTAAACCTTCTAGGGGCTTTCCATCTCCCACAGCCTCATGCCCCACATTCAGGAAGGCACCTAAGGAGGCCACATCTCCAGCTTCTTCTGGGCTCTTCTCCAGACCCCACCCTGGGTCAGCTGCCAGAGCTTCTGCTGGTCACCCCTAACAAGAGGAGCACCCTTCTTGGCCACGCGGCAAACCCCTCCCCTGTGGTCTGGCCCAGCTAAGAATGCACTCCTACTCACTGTCTAGTCTTCCTTCTCTGCTCCTCTACCTCCAGCAAGGCACATCCCTTCCTCCACCCCTACCCGCTGGTACTGAGGAACCACATGGTGCCACATTACACGTTACCACAGTTACACATTCTCCTGTTGGTTTTCCCGACTAGCTTGTGAACTCCTTGAGACAGCTTCAATTATGAATGAATGAATGAATGAATGAATGAATGAATGAATATAGAAGATCAGGCAAGATCTCCCATAACCATGGAAACCTCACTCTTGTTTATCATCATGGAAACAGAACACTTAAGGGCACCTGGCTGGCACAGTCGGTGGATCATGTACTCTGATCTCGGGGTCATGAGTTCGAGCCCCACGATGGGTGGAGAGATGACTTAAATAAATACTTACAATATATATATAACACTTAGGACCAGGTCTCCCTTTTCCCATGGGCACAGAGGACGCAAGGAGATGTCAAACCCAATACACATTCCCTAAAGGACGGCTAGGCGTAGCCACCAGTACCAGAGCCGCGACGCCTGTATTTACAACGTACCAGGCCCTGGGCTATGTGGTGTGGACACGCCTTATTTTAGCCTCGCAAAGTGCCATGCTGAGTCCCACCAGAAAGACGAAAGAAGAAACACTCGGAGAGATGATGTGACTGGCCTAAGGTGTCCACAGCTGGTGAGCAGCAGCGCCAGGACGGGAACTGCAGCTCTTAATGGTCATAGGGTAGAGTCTGTCCCAGGTGTCCTGGCGACCTCAGGGCTGCAGACTGAGAACCCAAGTTAACTGTGAAACCCACCCTCTACTTAGCAGCACCTGGAACCACAGGCTGCACAGGTGACAGGGGAACAAGAAGAGCCCATTCCGGATTCTGCCGATGGGTCATTAGGACCGCTTGTTTGTAACTGCAGGTCCGACAGGAGTCAGGGGAGCGGCTTAGTGCTCCCCACGCCGGGCTTTGTTTTTTACAGCGGGTGTGTGTTCATATTACAGTCACCGAGTCATCTGAGCATACTATCTTGTCTCCTCCTTACCCCAGACCTCCTCCTCCCTTCCCCACCTCAGTTTCTGGCCCCATCATCACTCACCCAGTTACCCAAGCTCGAAACCTCCAAGTCATTTTTGAGTTCTCGCCATTCCCTCGTGCCCCCATATCCAAGGTGCCCCAGGTCCTGCGCATTCTCCTCTCCAAGGGGCTCTCGACTCCGCCTGGCCCCTCTGGACACACACTGCTGCACCAGGCCAGACCCCACGGCCCCCTGCCTGCCCCCTTGCTGGGTCAGCCTCCCCCACATTCTCCTCGCCACCCGCCCCACAGCTTTCAGTCTATTCTAAAACAACAGTCCAGACCATGTCTGTCTGCTGCTTTAAATGTGTTTCTGGTCCCCCCTTCGCAGGAGACAAATTTCTAAGAGCTTCCCTGTGGCCTCCAGGGCCACTCCACTCCGGCGCTGGCCCTGCCTCCTGGCTCGCCCCCCCCATGCAGCCCACTGTCCTGCCTGGCTACCAGCCCGCCAAGTACTGCCCACACGCTCTGTTCCCTTTCCTGCTCTGCCGAGGTTCCCAGCCCTCCCACCTATCTGTGTGCATGCAGGGGATGCAGTTCTGGGCCAGGTGCCGCGGGGTAATGAAGAGAAGACACGCTTAGCGATGTGCACCAAACATCTGCTCACTGAGCCTGCATCACCCTAACGAGCCAGCCACTGTGAGCCCAATTTACAAGCAAGGAAACTGAGGCTCACTGAGTCTCAGTGACTGGTCCAACGGGGCACAGCCGAGTTTCCAAGCTACAGGGAAGCAAAAGCAGCTCTTATGCACATGATTCAGATGCTGGGGTCCTAGCCACGAAGAGCTGTAGCTCCAAATTCTTAGCCAGCAAGAACGACTCTGAATGAATGGCTGACTTTTAATTTCTCCTCAAATGCGCGCTGCTGGGACAAGCTAGGCAGACTCCAAGCACTAACAGCCCCACCTTCAAATCTGGGAACTCCGAGCCTCCTCTGAAGCAAGTTTTAAGTTTCCTCGGCAATCACGCCATCGGGAGTAAAAGAAAACCTCCCCCGCCAGGTGGCTGCTGGCTCTGCGGAGGCACCAGTCCTCTGTGGACACAGGCCTCATCAATAATGAAGCAGTTCCACAGCTGCTTACGAGGCCAGAAAATTGCTGCTATTCATCAGATTCAAATAATCGAATCTGCGCCACAATGCAGCAAATCCCTTCCAGCAGGGAAAGCACTCAGACTTTTATGATTTCCACTATACAGTTCAGTGTGGTTTCAGTCCGATAAATCAGAACAAAGCATCACTCCACACAGACCAAAAACCATTCTTTCCTCTCAAGTGGTCCAGGGAAAGAAAACCACT